AGTTTTAGTCTTTGAAGAAACAAATTTTAGAAAGTATTTGTATGTGGTTTGGTTCATCTTAACTTCCAAATTATTAATGGTTAAACTGAATTTAAGTTATTTGGTCCACTCTAACTAAATCATAGTAAAATATTTGATATGATGTGGTATGAAACTTAAGTAAACTTCAATTCAAAATTTAATATTATTAAGTTATGAAACTATTAATCTATAAAAATATTTTCAAGTAGCATGAGCAAAATTTTCAAAATAATTTGTTATAAAAGAAATTTCAACAAATGCTAAAATAATTTACAAAAGATAATTAATAAAACACTAAAAATTCATTATATATTTAAAATCTAATATAAACCAAATCAAATGTACATTATAAAAAATCATATATTGTTAAAATAACATTTATTAATTATTATCTATGACATTCTTGCAACTATTTATATAGTACCTAAAAATGTAAACATTTAGAATTTTATCACATTACATTATATATTCAACTGTTTTACCTTGGAGATGAATTATTTAATCATCGTGAGAAACTAATTAGTGTAAAATATTGAAATTTGAAAATCTTAGAAATAATTGATCAGTTATTTTTATTTTAGAGTAACTTCAACTATATTAAAGTGAAATAAAAATAAAAATAAGAATCTAAATCATTACATTTTCCTTAATTTGTTTTATATAATAATCTTATGTTCACTAAAAAATATGTTAATGGTTCTTTCAACTCAAACCAACAAAATTTAAAAAAAAATTGAATATATAATCTTAGAATTAAAAAAAAAATATATATTTATATATTTAAAAAAAAAATTATAAAATTAAAATATAAAGTAGCTTTATTGTGGACTCACATATCCGTAGGGCGGGCAAACCCCTAGTTTTAATATGTTTTCTTAACCAGCACACATTTTGATATATGCAAAATCTATCATTAATAGTTTCATATGGAATTCTATATTTTTGATATACGTAAAATCTATCATTAATCATTTCCCAATTATGTAAGTTCTATTTTTCAAATTAAGGAAGTTCTATATTTTGATATTTCAAATTAAGGAAGTTCTATATTTTGATATTTCAAATTAAGGAAGTTCTATATTTTGATATTTCAATTTTTAAAGCACAAATTATTTTCAAAACGAAAGCACAAATTATTCTTGGGAATATCTACACACGATCCACAAATATTTTCAAGATAAAAAATTGAATCATAATTGATATGAATCGAATAATTTAGTTTTTGCAATTTAGGTAAGGTGATTATTATGAAATACTGTAAGTATAAAAGTATATCTTGTAAACAAAAAAAAATCAATTTTCAAAAAACAAAGTTAAACAGTACGATGACTTTAAAATATGTTTACTATAAATCAAAACTTAAATGTATTTGAAGAGCTATACTATTAAATAAAGGATTTAGAGATATGTTTTACGGTTTATACTTTGGGTTTAGGGTTATGATTTTAGGTTTTATATATGGGTCAGTTGTTGAAATGCCCTACTTTCAAATGACAATGTGAGAATGGTGCCATTCGAAAGGAAAATTGTTAATATGGTCCATCCTTTTTGGAAACTTACCATCTAACCCTTTGCTACAATAATGGCATTAATGGTTTAAAAGAAATTAGAGAAGAAATAAAAGATATCACTTTAACTTCAACGGCTCTCTCAGATATCAGATTTGTTGCTCATATTGTCAAAGGCTCTCTCATTTACCTTCAACGATCTATCACATCTCAGATTCTATAATTTGTTGCTCATATTGTCAAAGGCTCTCTCATTTACCTTCAATGATCTATCACATCTCAGATTCTATAATCTGTTTTCTGTCCGATCTTTGAGTATATCTGATAAATTAGATAATCTAAGTAGTAAGTTCAGAGGTATTATGTTAGTGGCTGCATGTCAGGATGGAAATAGAGGTATATATCCTATAGCTCTTGGGATTGTAAATGCAGAGAATGCAGCTTCATGGGAATGTTTTTTTACTCAGCTGCGTGGTGGGATAGGCGATGGTAGAAATTTGGCTTTCATCTCTGACCGATGCCCAGCAATAGCCAAGGCTCTTACAAATGTTTTCCCTTAAGCTGATAGGGGCATATGCTTATATCACCTTGGACAAAACATGACCTCAGGTTGCAAAAATGCCAAAATGGTAGAGTTAGTGAAAAGGGCTGCCTGAGTATGTCGACAGGTGGATTTTGACAAAAAAATTGAAGTCATACGATGTCAAGACAGCGCTACACCGCTATTTGAAAACTGCAGATATTCGAACGTGGACTCGTTCACATTTTCCAGGAGACAGATATGATATCATGACAGTCAATTTTGCAGAATGCATTAACTGTGTGCTTAAGGAGGAAAGAGCGTTTCCCATTGCATATTTTGTGGATTCTTTTAGAAAGATGCTTTCAAGATGGTTTGCAGAAAGGCGAGAGAAAGCTGCCACGATGAAAACAAATCTTACAGAAGATGTTGAACTCAAACTGCATATGACACACGCCAACATGGGCACATTAACTGTTCAACATCTTGACTCAAATCGTAGCTATGTGTCTGGTGGATAGTTTGGCTGTGTGGTTGATCTAGAAAAGGTATGAAACAATAGACTTTCACTTCTTCCATGTTGTCATTTGTCTCATTTTTTATACACAGACTTCCATTTTTTCAGAGGAGTTGTACTTGTAAGCAATATGATCTCGATAAGATACCCTGCGCAAGCACGCAATTAAAGTGCCTCAATGTCGAAAAATTGATGAAGCTACCCTGGTGGATCCTCTTTACACAAAGGGCTACTTCGTTGGAGCGTACACAGAACCTATTAACCCTACAGATGAAGATTTGATCCCATTAGCCGATGTACTTAGTCAAGTGTGTCTACCACCCAAAATTGGTAAACAACGTGTAGGCCGAATAAGAAGAGATGCTTATATGCTACTGAAAAAGCGAAGCGGTTTAAGAGTAAATTATTAAAAAAGAAGAACCAAACAATGAGTACGAGCAATACACCTCCAGCAACACCGGAAGATAAATTGACTTCACGTAATACAACAACAAAGAAACGTTGTCGTAATCAAGCCCCAAGTACTCCAATAAACCACAATCTACCGCGGCGGCAGATGCCATCAACTAATCCGTCATCAAGAAAGAAACCAAAATACTCAGAAAAGATTACAGCACCGAGTACTCCATCCCCAAAGGTGAGAAAAGGACTTTTCCAGAGTATCCCTGCATCAAAGAAGCCAACTCAGGGAGCTAAAAAAGCAAAATCAAAGAAGACAACGCTCTCCCAGAAAAGACAACCAACAAAGAAGGAGAAAAGGCAGTATGTGTGTACCAAATGAAACAAAGGCGGACATTATCGATCAATGTGCAAAGTAGCGATATTGTTGTTTGGGTTATATAAATGGAAGAATCCATGTTCACTTAAGACACGATTAATAGTAGGAGTATTGTTGTTTTCCATTGAATTCAATACGATTATTTTGTTTTTCGGCTTGGCCTGTAATCTCTACTAAATTGATCTTTAGATTTGATGGATTTCATATTTCAGCTAATTAGTAACTCAGCTTCAAACTGGCCAACGGTTGCTCTTTCCTTGCTTTACATCTGCCGTAAGCTTGTGACTTTAGTCTTTTTTAATTAGAAAAACAAACTTAACCAGTTAAAGAAAAACACCTTTAAAAAACTAGTTTTTCTTTTAGAACTTCCTTTGGCACATAAATCTCAGAGTCTGGCCTCACAAACTCATAAAGAGTATTGCAAGGCAATAATATGTTTCGCAAGTAAAACATAGAATATCGGCAAGGAAACCGCAACGGGTAGGCCCAAGCTTTAAAAATAATAAAACTATGCTTGAGACACTGCAAATACTATTTTAGCTAACAAAAGGTCCTTTTGAACCTTAGGCTCACTGGCAGGCCACTGAGGAACGAAAAGAAACACCGGCAAGGCGATAATGCATTTGCAAGCTTATGGCAGATGGAAAACAAGTGAAGAGCAACCATTGGTCAGTTTTAAGCTGGCGACTCCCCTGCCGCTTACATGTTGTTGCCTTGCTCTATACAACTAGGTAAACTTTAGAAACTCTAGATAGCTATTTGGTTCATTTAAAATGCATACAAGCCAAAAACTATATTTATACAAACCAACTATTTGTTAAATTATTTTAACACTTAATATATTTTTGCTGCCTTTGGTCTTTTTGTATAAAGAAAAAAGAATTAACCGGTTAAAGAAAAGAACCTCTAGCAAGAATAGAAGGCTTGCTGCTCTGTACATTATTCTAGGTAAACTTTGGAAACTCTAGGTACCTATTTGGTCGCATTAAAATGTATACAAGCTAAAAACTATATTATACATTAAAATGTATACAAGCTAAAAACTCCCCTATCCCTTACATGTTGTTGCCTTGCTCTGTAAGGTAAACTTTAGAAACTCTAGGTAGATATTTTGTCCATTTAAAATGTATCCAAGTCAAAAACTATATTTATACAAACCAACTATTTGAAAAATTATTTTAACACTTAATATATTTTTGCTGACTTTGGTCTTTTTGTATAAAAAAATAAAAATAACCAGTTAGAGAAAAGCACCTCTGGCAAGAATAGAAGGCTTGCTGCTTTGTACAGTATTCTAGGTAAACTTTAGAAACTTTAAGTACCTATTTGGTCGCATTAAAAAGTATACAAGCTAAAAACTATATTATACAAACCAACTATTTTAATAATAAATTTCTTGTTTTAAAAAGTATTTTAACACTAAATATATTTTTCCTGACTTTGGTCTTTTTAAAACAACATTTTAACAATTTCTCCTATTTAGAACTTCATGTCAACATCAAGTTTTCCGAGATTTTACGCAGTTGGATAATTACAGAAGTTAAGAAAACCAGTTTTAACACACATTAGCAGTAAAATATGTTCTAAGATAAGAGCATTCAACATCACATACCAAGTTCAAGACACATTAGCAAGTTCAATACATAAGATAAAACCTTACAAAGGCCCTATAGCCTTGTGCCTCCGAACATAAGGGTCACTGCTATTGACCGATTGTCTAAACTCCTCTAAACATGGATTGAATCTGAAGTCCAATAATCCACTCTCGGTCTCTAGCCATAATTCATTAGGACCAAACACATCTGTATAAATGAAATTAGGAAACATTTTACTCAACTAACACATTTAAAACTAAACATATTTCAAACTAATACATAATATAATTAACTTACTGAAACAGTTACAGATCTTCCATATCTTAAGCACCACAATCACCTGTCCACGACCCCTCATAATTTCACACTGATCCCGGAATGCATATGCATGAGCATAAGTTGCCACACATTTTATCTCACTCTCACTAATATAAATAAAACAATGTGTATCAATTACATTAGTGTAAACAGCTGGCTCGGATCATATGTTTCTTTGTACATACATGTTATCCCTAATGTAAAACACCATCTATGGCCTTATATAGTCATCAAAATGGGCTTCTGTGCTGAATACCACTCCCATTATATCTACCACATAAGTGTTTTCGATTCTGTTAATTACATCTACATATATGAAATATATTTTAGTGGTTAGAAATCATACCTATAGGATAGTTTCTGTCCTTGTAGCTGATGTCAGCGATTCGATGGATATTCTTGAATTCCATGTAATGCCGACTATTCGGAGGATAGATGATTTGGAATTTTGTATTCCACATAGCAGTTAGTCTATATCGACCTGCTCTAAGACCTGGAAAGGCACGGTCAAATTTGACCCGAAAGATCTCCACCCACTTTCCCTCTTGTTTCTCTAGTCCTTCAAAATCTTCTGCGGTTAAGGGATCAATGGTCATCTCAATCTTGCCCCCCTGCATAAATAAATTTTATTAGATACATGAGAGATGATGTCCATTCTGTGTATAAACTTACATGTTCATCCGCTAGAACATAAACCCAATAGGGTATGGGACCGGTAATCTCGTAGTATAACTTGTAGACCCTGAGTATTTTCACTCTGAAACGCCATGAAGGGAGCATCTCGTCATCAAAAACTCCACCAAGCTTATTGTAGTGGTCTGCCATATTTGAGAGATGATGTGTAGTTTCGTTGATTTTATTTTCGGTGATAGAGAAATGGTGATAGAGAAATGGAGAGGGAAGGAGACGATTTAGTGGGATTTAAATTCTCAATTTTTAATGCCATTAATAGAAGGAATAAAAGATGAGAGAAAGTAAAGAGTAGTGATGATTATATCCAACCCTACTCGTCTATCTCCATCAAATCACAGTTACTATTTTGTAGACGGTTTGCATTCAAATGCTACTGTAATGATGCTATATAAACGATCATTTCTTGCAACATATAACAATTCTAAATTTCGTTAAGTTTTACATAGTTTCAAATATTTATACAATCTAAATTGTTACATTTTTCTTAGTTACATAAATTTATACAATCTAAATCACTTATTTTAAGTTCCTTAAACAGAGTTATATATCTTAATAAGTTACAGTTATACAAAGTTCCAATTACAAGAGATGCAAATGTTGATAGTCAGAAGGCGTGTGAGAGAAGTTGTGTCTTCTCGAGGATTCCATCAAATCATACCTATATAAATGGACACGCCACTACTTGAATCATTAATTACATGATTTTTCTCAAACTAATATACTACTAGTTGCTGTCATTAAATATAAAGAAAACCACCCTCGAAAACTAATTTTTCTTTTAGAATTTCCTTTGGCACGTAAATCTCAGAGTCTGGCCTCAAACAAACTCATAAAGAGTACGGCAAGGCAATAATATGTTTCGCAAGGAAAACATAGAGTATCGACAAGGCGATAATGCATTCACAAGCTTACGGCAGATGGAAAGCAACTGAAGAGCAACTGTTGGCCAGTTTTAAGCTGGCGACTCCCCTGCCGCTTACATGATGTTGTCTTGCTCCGTACAACTAAGTAAACTTTAGAAACTCTAGGGTGATAATTGTTTGTACTTTCTATATTAGTTTTTGGTTTTTGTTTTTCCAAAAACTATTTTTTATCCAGTCAAGATTTTGGTTTTTGTTTTTGGTGTTGGTAAAAACTATTTTTTTTTTTGCCAATCAAGTTTTATAATAAATAGATTCTCTAAAACTTAGGAAACAGGTTTTTCAAAATTTTAATCAATTTATGAAAAAAAAAACAAAACACCATTTTTGTTGGTTTTTAACAATAAAAATGATTTTTTTCCTTTTTTATTAGAAAGTGGTACATTTTAATTAGCTAATAATTAAAAATTATACTTTATAATGATACAAGTCTAATAAATTTTGGTACAAAAGATATTAAGAAATAATGTGTAATCATGTATTTATGTTTCATGTCAAAATAATTTTCTATAATATAATATTAAATAATTGAAATTGGTTATTAATTTCTATAAATAAAATTATTTATTAATTTTAATAATTCTTAGACTTATTAAACAAGAAATTAAATTATAAAACATAAATTTCATTAATAAAATATATTATATTAATTTTAAAAAGAAAAAAAATCCATTCAAATTTATAATTTAAATTGCATACAACAAATTTTATAAATAATTTACATATTTTAGTATTTTAAATATTATATAATTTATAGTTATTTTATGATTTATAATTTAGTATAATATAATTTTCTTAGAAATATAATAACTAAAACATGTTAATGTATTTTTTATTATTAAACTATATAATTATATTTTAATAGTAGCTTTTAAATGTTTTATTTCTATTATTTGTATTATTTTAAACTAATGTATTACTTATTTATTAAATTTTTTATTTCTATTTTCTTCGTTTGAATCTGCATCCGTGGGAGTTTCATCCGTTTTTGGGTCGACAGGTTTGTCGATGGTGCTTGGATTTACAATGTCATCCCTAGTTACTTCTCCGCTTTCAAATGTGACAACTGCTGTTTCTTCTACTACAGTGCTCGACCCGTCTTCTTTCGCCTTCGGATCGAAATTGACTCGATTCAACATTTTTGGGTTGGGTTTTGATTCTTTTCGCGCTAGCGATTGAGTTGAAGGAATAGAACTGTCGAGAAACAATGAGTGAAACTTAGTCTCGAATCGTCTTCGGGAATTCTAACTTATTTTGAAATTAGAGATCCAATTTTCATGGGTCGGTGTTGGTTTAGGGTTTGGATAGTCCTAGGTCGGATTGTAATTACATTTGCCATCACCACAATCACTTGACCTGGGCCCATAAAGGGGACCGAGCCCATAAACGAAAGTTGTCATTGCTCTTAGCTTACCAGTTACTTTCATTTGAAGCCGTGCCCATAAATGTGACCGATCCCATACTTGTATCATTGCCATTAGCTTGCTAATTATGAAGTGTAGCGGTGGTAGCTTCTTTTTAACGACTTGCATTTAAAACGCTCTTTGTTAACTCTAAAATTAAAATTAGAAAACGCTCATTGTTAAAATTAAAGTTAGAGATTTCACTGCGGATATACATGGCGAACTTTAACTTGGCTTCTCTCCCTCCTCCCATTCTTCATAAGATTCTCTCCAAGATAGCAACAAACAATCTCCGGAACTTTGGTAGTGCAAGAGTTGCGTTTTCCGGGTTCAATAAAATTGGCAGAGAAAATTATTTTTACAGATCTGCAAATCTCATGTACTTGAATGACTGAATAGATGAAGTCAGTGCTGTTAAAACAATCAGGCTTAGGTGCTACCAGTTGGGTAATCCATAGGCCATCTACTTGCGAGGTATGTATGAGTTCTTCATCCTCCATTTACTTGATGAAGGAAGGGAAAAAATTCATCTTGCTGGTGAGAAAGGATTCTCGTTGGCCAAGTATGTAGATGGTATGATGAACTTAGTATTTAGCGTTGATATAGGGGATTCGTTCACAAGTATCCAAGTTTTACTCGTGAATATGTTGATCGAATGCTGATCATGATGACTAGTTGGGCATTCATATGCTTTTCTGTTTACGATAAACCTGAGATATTTATGTCTCTATGTGAAATAATATATCTCAATGTGTCACGTGATTGCTGGTGCTCCACAATAATAGAATTAATGTTTGAAGTCTCCATAGATGAATCAAGAAAATGGTGGAGATGCGATTGTTGTTTCTGGCAACGTGCAGCTTGGGACTTCTGCAGTGACATTCATTTGACCGCTTGTGGCTGTCCAATTGGAGATTAGTTGTGTGTGTTATGAAATGTAATGTGTATCTACTTTGACTAAGTTTATGTAAAATACACTTCAGACTATGAAATGTGAATAAGTATTGTGATGCATTAACCAATTTTTTCAACCGATTTCATGTCTTGTTCTTCTTCTTCAGGGTTCTGGTTTATGTTCTCATTCGCAGCGACCAAGTTCGTAATGAGGTCTCTGAGCTATTGTGGGTAGGGTTGAATTCCTGCAACATTCATACAGTGGGAAGAAGGATACACATAAGACTGTTTTACTCAAATTAGTTACTAAACATCAATCAATACCATGAGACCAATCAAAAAAACTAAGTAGTCATCCTAAATATACCAATTTATTTCACAAACAAAGAGAGTGTCATAGAACTACAAACCCTCATCTGATGTGACTTCGAGTCCATTAGAGGAATTCAACCCATTCAAGGATTTATACAATCAAGTGACTTCGGGACCATGTTGTAGGTGAGATTTTGATTGGTTGTTTACCTTTGCCACTCAAACAATCAATTTTGATTGAAGACATAATCTCTCTAGCGCACGAGGACACCATTCTAGCAAATCTTCTTTGTTTAAATCTTTTTTCTGTCTCTAATAACTCTTGAATATTTATATGTGTCTACTCACAGATAACCTAGAATACACACAGTAGTATACACCAATATGACCAAAATGTGATAGCATCCTGGACATAAAAGATTTGTACAGGACATATACAAGGTTTAAAAGAGCAACAAAGTGAAGAAAATGTATTTGGGAGCGAAGGCTGATTAATTATAGAATCAAATTCCTTGTCATTAAATGAAAGGTTTGTATAATTGGCAGTAGCTTGCCAAACAATCTCATTCTCAGTGTGATGTTACCCTGCCAGTTCGTAGACTTGTCAGGAACCTGCCAGATCGTACACTTGCTATTAGCTTACCAGTTTGTATACTTACCGTTAGGTTGCCAATTGTATTTAGAATCACTTTATATAAGTAAATATAATTAATAAATTATATTAATAAATATATATATATATATATTATACTTTTAATTTAAATATCTAATAGATGAAGCTTCACGCTTACATGATTTTATGATTATTTATATATTTTATAATAAAATTTTTAAAATATTGATAACATCATTTTTAATGTGAAAGATTTAATATTTACAGTAATTTATCATCGTTTAAAAAAAATCAAAGTTGGTCATTAAAGTATTAAGTTCCTAATACTTGTTCAATGCAATTTTGAAATTAAATATTTATGTATTTTTAAATGGTATTTAGTTTAATTTAAATATCGCTAATATGTATATATATATATATATATATACATCTAATTTAAATATCTATTAAATGATATTTTTGTTACTCATTAATTATATAACTGTTTGTATCGTGATATAACAAAAATTTTAAACTATTAATCAAAAATATTATATGTGAAATTATCTTTTTATTAAATTATAGTCATTTTTAAGAACTAAAATATAAAATATATAAAAAATCTAATTATTTTTTTTGTAATATAGTTAATGTTATTGTTTAATTTATTTTCATACTATAAATTTAAAAAAAAAAAAGAGTAAAGATTATACAATTTTTTATCAAATCTTTCATATAATTCCGTAAATCTTATTTAAAGGAATAATGATTAGCATTAATAATAGTTTTATCTTAATTAATAAAAAGTATATTATATGTTTTTATGGACCAACATTTTTCTCTAGTAAATTTGAGAAGCATTATCATGATGACACGTGGCTACTCAAACATAATGTTTTTCAATTAATATATAAGGAATACCTTTATGCATTTATCATTCTTTAATTAGCAATGAAATGGTATAACTAAAATAGATCGTTAAATAAAAATATTGCTAATCGGTAGTTAATT